ACGACAAAAGATTTATCAGGTCTCGTATTAATAGTATGATATATTAGTGCACCAATAGCACTATGATATAGTTCTTCAGGAACAAGAAGATTTTCATGTTTTGTATGATGCTGAAATTGGTCCTTTTTGGCATCTAAGTGCCTTACCACCTTCGGGTTACTCATGGATGTGAGTTATTCATATAAAACCTTTTTAGCACCTTTTCTAGATATTAATGTAAAAAAACTCCATTTTTGTGTGCTTAATTTGAAGACCCAAATAGAATTTCATCTTACCAAGATCATTCATTTCAAAAGTTTCTTTCAAACAAGAGGTGACCTTTTCCAATTCTATAGGAGTTCCAGTTATGTTCAAATCATCTACAATAACATAAATTTTGATAAATTCTTAAATGGATCTTTTTATGAATACACATGGGCTTAATTTTATACCACTCGTTCAACGGAAATGTAATAAAACAATTGAAGCACATACGGCCAAATTGTTTCAATCTATACAAAGATTTATTTAATTTTACCAAATATACTTCATGAGAATTAGAAGTTATTGCTTTTGGCACCTTAAACTCTTCTTGGATTTTCATATAAATATCATTTTCAAGTGAACCATATAAATAGGCGGTAAATACATCCATTATACACATCTCCAGTTTTGCATATGTTGTTAAAATTATAAAATAATTGAATGTAATTGCATCAACTACCGGAGAATACGTTTCTTCATAATCAATTTCGGGCCTTTGGGTAAAACATTGTGCAACAAGTATTGCTTTATATCTTACAACTTCATTTTTCTCGTTTCTTTTGCGCACAAATACCCATTCGTGTACCACTGTTCTTACTCTGTTAGGTGTACGGACTACAGGTCCAAAAACTTTTCGTTGGGTAAGAGAATTAAACTCTTTATTTATTTCATCTTTCCATTTTGGCCAATATTTTCTATTCATACATTTTTCAATAGATTTTGGTTCAATATCCTCATTTTCTTTATAATCACGTGCGAAACATGATATGAAAAATTATCGTCGACTTTTGTCTTATGTTGGCTCTATCTTATTCCTATCATGACATAATTTATTGAGATCTCATCATTTTCATTTTATTTCCAGGTACTTTATATTCTTTTGTTATGTCATTGGTCTCTTCTAGAGCTTCATTAATCTTTTCAAGAGATTTTGTTTTCTCTTTTGGACCATCAGTTGTATTTGCACCATTAAATTTTCGAGGATTTTTATCTTTGGAACCGGTTAATCTTCCACGCTTCAGGCATGCCTAAGATTCATTTGTAGTCGTATTTTTTTTCTTCTGATATATCATTTCTAACTGGAGTATGTATAACTGGTACATGACACTTTGTTACTCATTTAGGGCCACTAAATACTTCTGGCAATTGATTTGCCACATTTTGTAAATGAATTATCTTTTTTATTTCAAGTTTAGATTGACTTGAACGAGGATCTAAATCTGAAAGTGATAATTCCTTTCAAGAGATTTTATTTTCCAGCTTCTTTATTTCTCCCCCTAATGTTGGAAAATATGATTCATCAAAATAATAATCATCAAATATAGTTGTAAATAAATCTCCAATTGATGATTTTAAATATTTTACTATATATGGAGATTCATATCTAACATAAATTCTCATTTTTCTCGAGGACCCATTTTTGTGAAGTGAGGTGGAGAAATGGGTACAAAAATTGTACATCCAAACATCCTTGGATGGTAAATATTTGGTTTCTGACCGCAAACCAGTTGAATAGGGGAGAACTCATGATAACTAGTTGGCATTATGCATATAAGTGATGTTGCATCTAAATTTTCATTCCCTTATGTTGATTAGGAAGTGTATAATGCATCAGTAATGGTCTTGCAATTAATTAAAGGTGTTTGATTAATTAATCAATTATACCATTTTGCAGACGAACATGTGTTACAGGATGTTCAATCCAATCGACATGCAATAATCGTTAATAGCTTGCAATGAAAATTTTGCAGCATTGTCAAGTCGAATTATCTTAATTGGGTAATCATGAAAATGTTCCCTTAGGCTGATTATTTATGCAGGTAATGTTGCAAAAACCAAATTATAGCTAGACAACAAGCACACATGTGACAATCTAGTTAACTCATTAATTAAAACCATAAATTATCTAAATGGTCCACATAGTAGTTGAATAGGTCCATAAATATCCCTTTGAATTTTTTCTAAAACTACGACTTTCATACCCAACTTTGTTCAACGATAGATAGAAAATAATTTTCCTTGAGAGCGTGCAACACAAGAGAATTCATTAGCTTGAAATATCTTCTGGTTTTTCAAGGAATAATCACTTGAACTTTCAATTATTTTGCGCATCATAATTTATCCGGGATGGCCCAACCGGTCATGCCAAACTTTGAAGGTATTATCATACATTTTTTTTATTTTCAATAGCATGAATCATTGTAATATTTGTAAAGTACAATCCGGAGGACAATACTAGATAATTTTTCCAAAAAACTTTTCTTACCTGAGATCATTTTTGTAATGTTGAGATAGTTTTTATTACCATCATTAGTTGTTTCAATATGATATCCGTTAGACCGAATATCCTTAAAACTTAATAAATTTCTTGATGATTTTAATGAAAATAATGCATCACCAATTGTAATTATTGTCACTTGTGGTAATACTATATTCGGTCTTCCAGAGCCTTCAATCTTGGTGATTTAGACAAAAATAATGCATCACTAATTTGTAATTAGTGTCCCTTGTTGTAATATTATATTCGCTCTTCCGGAGGCTCCAATCATTTTTGCATTACCTGTTATTATATTAAAATTTTCTTCTCTAATTGATAACTAAGCAAAATACTTTTCATTATTAAAAATGATATGTGTTATTGCATTGTCTGCAAAAAATATATCTTCATTATTTCTTTTGCGAATTTCCATATTTTTTTTCAATAAATAAACAAAACATAAGAAACATTCGACCTAGAGAAATAAATTCATATTTTATTAATTTGGGAAGATTGTGACGACATCATTTCTTATGAAACAAATATGACATAAAAACATATTAAATGTCATGAAATAAAACTACACATTATTCTGATCAATCACCATCCAAATCACCACTTGTCACTTCTAGGTAGACAAGAAAATCAGCAACATCCAAAGGTGTTATTTCTGGTTGATCTTAATGAATATCACTTTGAATAAAATTTGTTTTGATATTTTATTTTTCTTTAGATTTTAGATTAGTTTGATAAAGATCAACAAAATGCTTTGGTAAGCGGCATGTACAAGACCAATGATCAGTCATTCCACATCAGTGACAAACATTTTCAACTTTTTTTTCCTTCACCACTTTATCATTAGGATGTGGATTTTTGTTATTTACCAACTTCTGGTGGTTACTTATAATCTTGTTATTTTTATGATAATTATGATAACTTCCACGACCTCAGTTAGACCCATGACTATTATGATTATATGATGTTGCATTCACTTCAGGGAATGAACTAGAACCGGTCGGGATTGATTGGTGATTTTCATCAATAACTCATTTTGTTTATCCACAATAAGACATGAGATTAATTCATATTTATTTTAAACCTTTCTCATGATATTGCTACTATAAAAGCATGTTAGTAGTATGAAAACTAGAGAAAGTTTTCTCTAGCATGGTTTTCCATAATGAAAATAGAAATCAAAATAAAGAATTGTATGTTAAGGAATTATTAGTTAAGAAATCCCATAAAATAAGTTGTAAGCATTGTACATTTAACATTATAAAAAATACATACCTGAAAATGACAAGAACAATAAGGAGTTAGAGCTCTATTGTGCTGATAACGTGTTATAAAATATGATCAAATAACAAGATAAGTTATAGAGTAAAGAAAGACATGAGAGTAGAGAGAACTTTTATTCCAATACTTGTGATGAAATCATCAAACTTTACAATACATAATATTCACTATTTATACTAAACAAAAAAGATGAAAGGTGATGCATGATATGAATCCTCATCATGGTGGTGCATAACTACACTCATAAAACTCATAATAATGTTTGGTGTAATGTTCACTAATTATGGAGTGTAATGGGGAATACGGAGAATCCAATAGTCATTCACTAAATAATAATTCATAACATAGAGTTTTTTTAACAAAATGATGTCTTGTAAAATAATTATGGTACTGATTTTCGTAGTCTACTAGACATGACAATATTTTTTTTTTAGAAAATACAAGCTAGATTTTCTGCGAAAACCTAAAACCTACATTTTCAAAGGTGTACATTATGAAAATCTCAAAAGAAATAAAAAATGATATTGCTAAATTGACACCCTATGAACACTTTTATTAAAAATCAACCTATAATAAACTATTTAGAATTTCCTTTTTCAGAAAACAATACAAATTTAACCGATAAACTTCAAACCACAGATTTTCACAAATAATGGCCTATGAAAACTGTGACTATTTAGATCAATATGCTAATATTCGGCTATTTCGTAGAAAATGATTGTTGAGTTCAACAAAATTTATCATTTTCTTTGATTTAATTGCTTACACACTAATGTCAACTTAAAAAAGCGAGTTTCCTCGAGAAATCAAAGTCATCACCATCTTCTAGGCTCTTACCACAATTATGACATCAGGCCAAATCCACAATCTTTTTTTAATCCATCGACATCAACATGCAATAAACTTAAATCCTCCATCTTTTTATTAATGAAATTTGGCAACAAAATTTAAATAAATGCTGGACAAGATAAGTAGATATTAACAAAATGAAAGAAGTAATTAAAGAAATGAAAATGAAATTTGAATTTCCAAAAACACCCCACAAAAACTAGTCTTTATTAGTCCATTTTTGCAACTCTACTCCAAAACATCTCAATACATGACCCACAATAAGATCAAGTCTTCAAAAATCATATCCCACAGAACATAAGATGAAAACTAATAACATCAAATTCTAGTTTCAACCACTTTCTACTTTAAAGTTTCAAGCATCGTACTCGTTGTCAAATATCACTATGCCACTTCGCTTCTTTGGAAGAAGCTTCTTTTTCCATATCCCATCAAGAGGACCACAATTGAAACGAACCTTCTTCTTCCCCTTGTTCCTAATTACACTGCAAGCAAAGTAAAGCAACATACAAGGGTAGAATTGTAAATTTATGCCTCATTTACATGCCATGCACTCACTCACTACGCAGGCATAAAAATTTGCATTCGTTACATGGGACTCTAGAATGGACAAGATTTCCAGGGCTATTTTCACGTACAAGGGTATTTTCGTCTTTTTCACATATAAGAGATCGAGCGTGAGTCCTTATCTCATCTTATTTGGGTGGGAGAAAATTAAAATTTTGTCTTAATGATATCAATTCCCATGTTAGTGTAGTTCCATACTTCCGGTCCAATTCATGTGAAACACATTATAACCTATCATTCAGTTGGACCTATTAAAATATAAAAAATAATACCTGGATCGATCATTGTTCCTTTCAATAGGCTCACAAAGTGACACCATCAAATCTTCACCCTGTGTTTGTCAATCAAAATACTAATATCATTCTCAAGGTAATATAAGAAAGAATGTGCTTATAATTTTCGTATAAACTATATGATCATGTTTGTATTCCAATGTGATTATAAACAAGAACGCAAATGTTTGATTTTACAAAAGAAATGATTACACTAAATGTATGAAATAGCAATGTACTTTCATTCCCTCTTAATACTCTAGGCAAGCTAACCAATTCCTTTGATGTGATCATTTACTAATATGCCCTTCATGAAAACAAAACAAGGATAGAACTTATGAGAAGAATATAGAGGGTAACCATGAAAATAACCTCATTTTTCTTAGTGAGTTCCTTGAACAAAGAACGAGCAAGAGCGTGTTTGGAGTTTCTAGGCATTTTAATCTACAAAAGAAGCAGCATCACCATAAAAGTATTCGATATTTTTGTTCAAAATTTTTAATTTTTGGTTAAATTATGTTGAGTCAAACATAGAGAAAGAAAGTATGATTACCTTTTTATTTCTGATATGCATCATAGTTGGACAACCATCTTCAAACCTACAACATCATATGATAAAATAAAATCAACTATCAAATCAAAAGAAAAAGGAAAAACTTTGTGAGGTAAAAATAAGTACAAATTAAGATGAAAGTAATGAAACATCACCCTAAGTTTTTGAAGTAATCGCTGTTAACAAATGATGATGATGATGATGATGATGATGATGATGATGATGCTGATGATGATGATGATGAGGTCAAGACCTACACAATAAACAAATATTACAACATACAAAATATTAAAATCATAACAAAAGGTCAAAAAAGAACACATTTTTTTCAAATCTAAATTTTGGGTATTACCTTATATTTTTGTTTGAGCACTTCCATATCTTCATTAGGGAAAGCCAAATCAATAGTTAAATGGAGAGGTGGAGGCACATCATTCTTTGGTTCCTTACTTACATCTAATGGCAATTGGTTCAAGTCAACTAATGATCGTTCCATTATTCCTTTGACACTTCGCTCGGGAATAGAGTGTGGTCTCTTCTCCATGGCTCAAAAACTTCAAAAAGGAAAAATGAAATAAAAACATATGTTAACCTCATAGTTTTCTAATATCATGCCAAAGCTTATAGTTAAACGGGGTGTTTCGGTGAGCATTTTCAAAAATGATTATTGTGACTTGAAGAATCATATAATTTGATTTTTTGACTCTAAATACAAGAAAGTCATGACTCATGATCATAAATTATAATCAATTCTTTCCAAACACTACAAACTGATTATTATGACCTAAGTCACAATAATCAATGTAATTTGACTAATTCTTGATTGATTTGAGCTTTCGATTCTTTTATCGAAGATTGAAGACTTTGATTAAGTGTAAAATTGCTTCATTGAAAATTAGATTCCTTCAAACTAAAAGGGCAAAATCCCCCTTTTTCATCGACGACGATTCTGTAATAAATAGAAAATAAAAAACAACTATGAGCATGTAAGAGACTAAAATTTCAACAAAAGCCAAGAATTATATAGAGCATTGAAAAACATTAAAACTCAAATCTAATTGTGTATGAAAATCTAAAGACCAATTGCACCAAATGGAAGAATCTATGAGACAACTACTAAGAAGATACCAAAAAACACAAGAAACTCAAGAATCGATGCTATACCATTCACGAGATAGAAAGAGAAATCAATTGTTGATTGATTGATTAGTAGAAGGAAATCCAAAGAGTCCTCTTCACATACCAAAAAGGAGAATCAAGATTCAGATTAACCTGGAATCCTAGATTACTCCACCACCGATTGAAATGCCTTTACTCTCTTCACCTTTTCTCTCTCTCTATCAAGTCTATGTTTAGCAAAGATTGTTTTTTAGCCATTAATTAAATATCTATATATTAATGATTTTCAAATTTCTTCCTTTCTAGCAAAAATACCAAAATGTCCCGAAACATCGTCTCACCCCAACCACATAAGGGTGCACAATACATTTCCACATTAGACTGATTGAATAAGGTAAGGTAGATATGAATAAGGTAAGGTAGATAGATATCAAGTCAAGTGAAATGTTTAAAAAAAAAGTGTTAATTTGACTATCACAATGCATAAAAGTATAAAATATGTAAAAGGATAATTGACATCCCTTGACAATGTCCCAAGCAAGATGAAGGACCTTACTTATGGATTCTCACCTTCACACAACACACAATTCATGGTAGCTTTTATTTTTCTCGTTTAGAGGGAAGTTAATAACTTTCTAGATACTCTCTCTCGATAGTTTTAGCTTTGAATAGATTTAGTAGAAAAAATTAAGCATTAATTAACAATTTTACATAGCACATTTAACCATTACTTCCATATTTAAGTACCTCAATTCTAACATGTAAATCCTTGTATGCACATATATGGAAGAGAGGCCTAAATATAATTATCATTCCCTAAAGAAATTACAAAAGTAATTACTCATGGACCCTTTTTTCCTACATTTTTTATTTTATGGAACTTCGTAATGATTAGTCTTGGTAGTTGTTTTACATATATCATCTATCTTAATAATGGATAAGTTTGCATAATTGGTAAAGTTTGTTCATATTATGGAGAAAGTACAAGGTGTTTATAGAATATAGTAACTATAGATTCTAGGAAATACAAATCGATATGCTTGATAGAAACACACTAAGAACAAAAACCTATTTTCCCACTTTGTGATGCATTTTCATTTGTGTATGACAAGAGCACTTACCACTAACAAAATCATTTTCTTTTCTTAGCTATCCTTTAGTCTTAATCCGGAATATCAGCATTAACTTCTCGGTCGAAGATCACTAGATCTTCTAATTTGTTTAAAAAAACCATGAAATTGGAACTCTTAATCTAACACTAACATTATACAAGGTAAACAAAATTGATACTAAAAGTTTTCATATAGCAATTCACCAAGAATTTCTTTTAATTCACTCAAGAATTTCTAACGGAGAATCAAAACCACTCCATAGAACAAAAAATCAAGAAATCTATAAAACAACTTTGGAAAACCTAGTACAAAAATAGCAGCAGAATGGAACTTTCTAAGTGCAAGTATATACATATATATGTAGCTGATAATGATCGATCATACCTTCGGGTTTAAAGAAGTTGAAAACCATGTTGGGCACCACCAGGAGACCATCGATTGAAGTGTTTTCTACAAATTAAGAGAGAAAGATCCAACAAAGATATGTATAGTATGAAGAAGAATATTTGAAATCGAAGACCACGCTGGGTAAAGATTATCTAACGAGGGAAGATAAGAGATTGATAATCAACGACGTCACACATTCCGGTAGAATCTTTTCAACTGAGGAAGTAGAGGATGTACAACTACGATGAATTTGAGAACTAGGATGAAAGTGTTCGTTGTTGGGGTACTGGTTGTGATCACTGAGTTATTGCGGCAGCAGATTGGCTGGATTGCCTCTTGTCCGCTTGGAGGTAAAACAGACCCCGATAGATTTGCGTGGGTCGGCTCTTGTAAGTTTGGTTTATATTTTTTTTTACATGGATCGTCCTCCAAGTTTGTTTTATTACATGTTTTATCCCTCTCCACCCGTTTGTAATAAGATGTTTCCATTAATGAGCTTTTCATGCTAGGTTAAATATGTCTTTTTAGAGATGAGCCTTTGGACCGGGGAACCGGCCATAACCGGTACCGGAACCAGAACCCGATGCAACCGGTCGGGTCGGGCCAGGACCAGGACGGTATTCATATGGATTTTTGGGACCAAAAACGTAGGTTGCTATTTCTCGACGACCGGTTCCCACATTGAAGAGACTGCGAGAACCAGTAGGAACCATAAACCGGTAAAACCGGCGGTCCAGTTCGGTTCTTAATTTCGGCCGACTTCGATTCCCGGGTCGGGTTCGGTTTGGGCCAGTTCTAGTCGGGTCAGTTCCTTTGCTCATCCTTATGTCTTTTTATTAACAGTGTTAATGGGAAATCCCAAAAGGTTTATTCCCTCATCGTTGATCATTGCTCTCATTTACGTCGCAAATACTCACCTCACAAATTGGCAAATGAAAACGCTAATTGCTTCATACGTTCTTCAATGTAACAATACAGGGATGGAGAATCAACATTGATATGTTTGAAATTGACAACGGAAGATATTACCATAAAAATTAATAGTCTTGAAAAGTTTTATCAAATCAGTAAGTTTTAGCAAACGAAATTTAAGTTTTTTCCATTACATGTGGTCATACCAGTATCGTCTCAATCAGAATGTTCTACGGTAGAGTGTTCAATTGGATTGAAATATTTAAGGGTGTTTAGTAATAAAGAAATATTTAGGGCATGTTTTGGGTTGCTTTTCAAAATAACTTATTGACTTATTGACTTTTTAAAAGCCAATAAGTAAAGCAAAAAATGGCAAGCTCAAAAGCACTTTTCAAAATACCTTTTTCATTACTTTTAAAAAGTAGATTTTAAAAAGTATGTAAAACTTGGTTTTTAGAAATTACTTTTAGATTTCCAACCAAAATAGATTCAAAAATGATATTTTAAGCTAAACATTTCTTTAACTTATTGACTTATTGAGTTTTGTCACCTCAAAAACTAATCAGACAACTTTTTTAAATACTCATTTTGCCACCACCATAAGTCAAAAATCACTTTTTCCCAAAAAAAACTTTTGGAGTTCAAAAAGCAATCCCAAACACCCCCTTAGTATATGAAGAAGTTCCAAAGGGAGAGAGTCTTCGATGCCATAAATTATCAATAACAATTAGATGTCCTTGTCTATGTTGTTTTCCTTGTTAGCAAGTTGCACATAAAGTATCAATATCAAATTTTAAAACTGGCAAACCATGAACAAGATCTTTTATCACCAACTTATTTAAATTATTAAAATTCAAGTGAGAGAGTCTTCGATGCCATAGCCAAATTATGTCAGAAGAAGCTTTCAAAAGCGAAATATTGAGGGAATACCGACAATGGGTTGTATGTCAAGTATAAACATATCGCCTTTTTGTTTAGATTTCAGAAGCACTTCTTTGGTTTCTTTGTCTGATATGATACGTCCTTCTTCATGAAAAGCAACTTGATTGTTTGTGTCCACAACAAGTTGTGAAACACTTATCAAATTGTGTTGAAGACCTTCGACATATGCAACCATGTTGAATGTAAACTTACCATTGGTCACCTTAACATAGCCTTTAACTTTGCATTTGTTGTTGTTGCCAAACTTTACTACACCAGCATTTTCTAAGCTTCGAAAACCTCTCGGATTTTCCTTCTTCCCAGTCATGCGACGAGAGCAACTACTATCGATATACCATTTATCATCATAATGTTCGTCACTCAATACCTGCAATCAGTGAAAGAATTTAGACCCCAATGTTGTTTGGTTCCTTGGTTATTAGAACAAACTACATGATGATACGAAGACCCTAAATTCCAATTTTGATCTTTTGATTTTAAGCTATCAATTAAGTCCATTTCTTTAGTTAAGGGTATAAAAATGTAATCATTCTAAGGTTTAGAGTCAACAACAATTTTTGCCTCTTTCTTCTGAGTTCGTTTCTCACTGGCTTTTTCTTTCGGAACTGCTTACCAATTTTGAACAGGAGGATTCGACTCTATTGATGAAGAACTTCTATTTGGTGATTCATTCAAATACTTCTCATAAGCATCCTTGATTTGTTCTTAAGAGAATTTTCCTGACTGGAAATTTTTTCATCTTCCTTCCAGCCAACGATTAATGTCCTTTACATTTGTTTTTCCTTTGATAAATGAGGCTTTGACTGATTGTTCCGAAGGTGGGTTCGGAAAATGAGGTTGTTTTGGCTTAAAAGGTTTATCTCATCGCCCTTGAACTTTCATCTCAACAAAATTTCTTATTGATAATCTTGTGGAAACTTGAGATCGATATCGATTTTGAAAATGATTTTGATAACCCACATTTGTTTTTGTAAAAAAAAATGTGTGTTCGAAAATTGATTTTGATTAGAAACCCTATGATAATTCTTTTGTACGTTTGATTGAAAATCACTTCTTTGAAATTTGTTTTGTG